AAAAAGGGAAAAATGCATAGATTTTCCAGAAATGGTAATTACTGTCTAGACATACTAATAATACTGTAAAATACTAAATGATAAATAAAAATTTTAGTTCTTAAAAAAAAAGCACAGATAAAGATCTTACTTCCAGGATGCTTATTACTTTCTAATGGGAAAAGATAATTGTTATGGCTTGTGCCTAGATGTCCCCAAATCTTCCTTCACTCATGGGTGAGACGTTTTCCAGAGGTGACTGGATCTAGAGTGTGGATGCTGGGATTAGGGATGAGTGATTATGAAATCAGTCCACTGACTGGTTTTAACTAGTAAGTCCACACTACTACCAGTAGCCTAGAAATGGCCTAAAAACAGAAGAAAAAAGCCTTGGAGGCTCCTTGCTTGCTTTGCTACCTTCTGCCCACCATGAACTGTTTCTCCTCTGTGATGCCCCTCTGCCGTGTATGAAAAAATGTTCAGCATCATTGGTCATTCCAGAAATGCAAATTGAAACAACACTGAGATTCCATCTCACCCCAGAAAGAATGGCTATCATCAATGCCTTGGCACCAGCCATCTGCGGACTAAAACTTACAAAATCTGTGAATCAATTCAACCTTTTCTCCCTTAACTTTGGGCATCAGGTATTTCATCTCAGCAACAAGAAAAATGACCAAGACAATAATTCACTCTTAACATATCTGTGGATGTTATAGGGTTTAATTGTTATAGAAAAAAAGAGAGGTTAGGTATGGGATACGAGGTTGTTGATTGCAATTTTATTTTTTATATTATTATTATTATTATTATTATTATTATTAATGTATTTGGTTGTTACAGGGCCTCACTACACAGCTCAGACTCATGGTGATCCTTCTGTGCTTTCAGCCTTCCCAGTGCTGGAATTACAGGTGTGTACCACTATGCCTAGACTCTGGCCGACTCAGCCTGCCCTGGGGGCAGGACTGGCTGGTATGTGGTGCCAGGTATTGAACCGCAGTCCCTGCATTTGCTTAAGCTTTCCTAAGTGGGTGCTTTAGTCTGCTGAGCTATTTCACTGGCCCCTGATTGTAATTTTATAGTGCTATGGTTTGAATGCATGGCCTTACATGTGTTAAGCTTTACCATTAGATTATATTCTCAGATATTTCCTTTCTCCCTCACCCTCCTTCTTTACTCTTTGTTTCTTTTGGTGACAGCATGCCCCTCTGTTGTCCAGGCTGGCCTTGAGCTTTTCAGCTCAAGCAGTCCTCTTGACTCAGGCTGAATACAGTGGTTGGGACTGCAGGCACATGCTACTGCCGCTAGCTATGGGTTACAATTTCAGAGTGTTGGAGGCAGGCCTTGTTAGGAGAGTGACTCTCTCGCCTACTCCACAATTCCTCCTGGAATTGTCCATGATGATGTTCTGGGAAGAAGGTAGTTTTTTTTTTTTTGTTTGTTTGTTTTTTGTTTGTTTGTTTGCAGAACTGAGGATTGAACTCAGACCCTTGTGCTTGCCAGGGAAGCACTTATTCCACTGAGCCAACTCCCTGGCCCCTGGGAGGGAGGTGTGTAAGCAGAGAGCACACATTCTTCATGGGCCCTTGGTGCAGACTAGAAAGGCTTTAGCCTTTTCCTTTGAGAAAAATACAATTAAAATATTTTCATGAGGCTTTCGTCTTGGCCACCGACATGCCCTCCAGACTAAAGAAGACCCGGAAGCTTTGGGGCCATGTGAGCCACGGCCATGGCTGCATTGGCAAGCACCGGTAGTATCCTGGAGGCCGGGGTAATGCTGGTGACAGGCATCATCACAGGATCAGCTTTGACAAATATCACCCAGGTTACTTTGGGAAGGTTGGGATGAGGCATTACCACTTAAAGAGAAACCAGAGCTTATGTTATGCCCAAATGTCAACCTTGATAAATTCTGGGCATTGGCCAGTGAGCAGACACGGGTAAATGCTGCCAAAAACAAGACTGGAGTAGCTCCCATCATTGATGTAGTGCGATCAGACTACTACAGAGTTCTTGGGAAGGGAAAGCTCCCAAAGCAGCCTGTTATCATGAAAGCCAAATTCTTCGGCAGAAGAGCTGAGGAGAAAATTAAGGGTGGTGGGGGAGGGCCTCTGTCCTGGTAGCTTGAAGCTACTGGACAGGGGGCTCATTAAAGTGCTAACAAAGGGTTTTCAAAAAAAATAATAATAAAAATTAAAAAATAAAATATTTTCATGAGAACTTTCGGGATTTTCTTCCCAATGTCTTGTTTCTGCTGAGAGAGAGACAGAGACAGAGAGGCACGCAGAGGGACTAAGAGACACAGAGCAGGGTCTTGGATATGGACTGCTAGCTTTTTTCTTTGAGACAAGGCCTCACTAGACAGTTCAAGCTGGCTGTGAACTCACTGTGTAGACTAGGCTGGCCTTGAATTGGCATTGATCCTCCTGCATCAGCCTCTCAAGCACTGGAATTACAGGCGTGCGCCACCACGCTGGCTTACCATTGGCACTTGCATCTTTCTCCCACCACCCGGTTGTCCAGGCTGGGGTGTGGCTCACCCTCTAGGCGGTTTTTATGACACATTTCCACCAATGTCAGTTCCACCAGGGAACCCAGTTTCTTTTTTTTTGTTTGTTTTTTGTTTGTGTGTGTGTGTGTGTGTGTGTGTGTGTGTGTGTGTTTAGTGCAGGGTCTATAGGGTCTCACTACACAGATTGGATTTGTAGTGATTCTCCTGTTTTCAGCCTCCTAAGAGTTGAGATTACAGGCATGTGCCACCTTGCCCAGTCATTTCAATCACCATCTCAGCACACCTTGGAGGTGGGGCCGGCACAGCAGGCCAGGGATCAACCACAAAACAAATCAAAGATGAGAGGAGCCCTGCTCCTGCTCAACAGAGGCCTTGACTCCTGTTGTGACAGTAATGGGGCACTGGGACCCAGAGAAACAAGGACTAAACAAGGGTGAGCAGCAGGGGTCCCAGCAAATGTCACACCCCCTTGGAGGAGACAGATCTCAGCTGCCCCTCCCCACCTCCTGGCCCTTGCTCTCTTGCTCTTACACACACACACACACACACACACACACACACGCACGCACGCACGCACAAACACACTGACACAATGGCCGGGTGGGGCAGAGGAAAGGGCTTCCTCTGTGGAGATCGCAATCTGGCCCCTGGGTTCCCGCCCCAGGAACACAGGAGCGGAGGACTGGAGGCTGCAGTCTGCATTCCTTGCTCCAAAGGGCAGGTAGGACAGGCAGAAAATAGAAACGGCTTCCAGAAAAGATAAAGGTAAGTTCATGGGGAGTCACTGCAAAGCCAGGGAGGAAGCAGACTTAGGGGTCCTTTGAAATAAAGTGTGGGATGGCTCACACCCGGGGAAAGGTTGGACGCTAAGGAGACAGGAAGCAGTGCAGGTCAGGGAGAGATGGCTGGACAGGTCAAGGAAGGACGCGCACACTGTCCCATAGCTGAGGTAGCAGCACCCACGCTGTCCAGCCCCTGCCATCGCCACCATCCCACTCCATCTGCCCCACCCCCACCCCGGGTGGCCATGAACCCCTGTGGCCCAGGGATGCGGATGGAATGTGCGCATACACAGCAGCCTTCTCTGCACCCATGGGTCTCTGACATCCTGGACACCAGGTCCTTCTCATCTCCCAGGGACCCCGGTGTGCGCATGTGGAGTGTGGTGTGTGGGGGGGGGCGGTGTCCGGTTGGGAAGAGGATCCGATTCCTGTTTCCTGCCCCTACTCACTCAGCCCTGGGAGGTGACTGAGAGTGGAGGGAACTTGAGGGTGAGTGCTTGGGGCCCCACTACCTGGGCCCTGTGGGAGACCTGAGGAGGGGGGTAGCCTGAGAAGGGGATGGGGAAGGAAGTAAACACAGGTACCTGAAAGGAGGGGTGTTGGGGTCCCAATGAGGGTAGGGTCTGAGAGGAGCTGGCCAGCTGTTGAGGCCACTGTGAGGATCACCTCACTAAGTGGCTTCCTACCAGGACACAGAGGCCACTGAGCTGCAAGTCTCTAGTCTGTAGCCCCTGCCCCACCCCACATCATTTTTCAAGAACCTGTCTGGGGTCTGGAGAGCTGTGATTTTTGCTGGCTCCTGAAGGCGGTCTGGGGGCTCCCCTCATCCCAGTGATGACCCTAGTCTCATCCAGACAGCAGCCTCCTTCCTCATGAGAGGAAGAGCAACCCAGACCCAAGTGTCCTGGGTCCGTTAATGCTAGCCTGTGTCCTGGTCTCCGGGAACCTTCCTGGAGTGCTCCTGCTCCCAGCCTCTCTCTTTGTCCAGACCTGGGACCAGGCAGGGATAAAAGGATGGGGGACAGAAGACCCTGTGCTGTGGCCTCACAGTCTCTTGGGGTCAGAGGCTCCAGGAATCTCCATGGCAGGAAAAGGAGACTAAAAATAATCCGGAAAGGGAGAGTCCAGAGAGAGGAACTGGGAAATGGGGGCGGGGGCTGGTAGAAGCCGGGAAAGAATGATGCATCCCTCACAGCCCGAGCATGGACATGCACACACACATGTGTGAACACACCTCACACACTCCTCCTAGATGGCACAGAACACACGTACACTCTTATACTGCTGTTTCTACACTCACACTGCTCCCTCCTCTGGGGCCACCACACACTGTCTACCCCCTCTTGTGGTGTACACTTACCCAGCCAGCACAGAGTGTACGCTCAACACACACCGTGCAACCCCCATTTGTACCTCACTAGCTGCAGCACACACTTAACCCACAGCTACAACTACATCCTACAATTTTTTTTTTTTTTTTTTTTTTTTTTTTTTTTTGCGGAACCGGGGATTGAACTCAGGTCCTTGCACTTGCCAGGCCAAGTGCTTATTCCACTTCCGTGGCACACTGGGACTCATAGTTCTTAAGGTTTATTTGGTGTGTATACTGGCAAGTTGGAGGGCTGAATCTCTTCTACATTTCTCTGATTCTCTGATGCCTCTGCCTCCACTGACTCAACCTCCCAGCCTTGTCTCCTCTGGCTTGACTGTGGCAGCAGGAGTCAAAAGACTGAGGAAGCTGGGTGTGGTGGTACACACCTGCAATCCCAGCTACTTGGAAGGCTGAGGCAAGCAGATTTCGAGTTTGGACCCAGCCTGGACAGTTTAGAAAGAATTTGTCTCACAATAAAAATGGTTGGGGATATAGCTCAGTGGTAGAGTACCCTTGGTTCCCAGTACCCTTGGTTCCATCTCTAGCAACTCCCCCCAACACACACACACAAATGCTGAAAGTGAAAGGTGGGAGGGTCAAGAAGGTCCAGGGCAGAATAAAAGGGAAGGTGAGAGGTGAAGAGGAGCGGGACAGTGCAAGTGAGATGCAAGGTGGGGATGATTCCAGCTTTCCCTTCTGCTTCCTTGCGTTCAGATGTCCTCAGTCTACCCACTGGGGACACTAAGGGGCTCTCTCTTCCACCACCCTTCTCAGGGGATGACTCCAGCAGAACACTCCACCCCTTTGAAGAGTTCAGAGGAAGATGTCAGCCCAGCCCCTTCCTGCAGCAACACCCCCTGCCCAGAAACCCTCTCGGATCATCCGCCCCCGGCCCCCTTCCCGCCCACGGGCTCCCCACTCCCCAGGGCCTTCTCAGAATGGCTCTTCTCCCCAGGCACCTCCCCGAAGCTCCAGTGATGCACCAGCTCCAGGGTGTACCCCCATTTTCTGGGAGCCCCCAGCCACATCCCTCAAGCCCCCTGCTCTTCTGCCTCCATCGGCTTCTAGAACCAGCCTTGATTCCCAGCCTTCCCCAGACTCACGTTCCAGCACGCCCAGTCCAATGTCCAGGCGCTCTGGCTCCCCAGAACCTCCTGTCTGTTCTCCAGTACCCCCACCCAAGCCCTCCGGGTCACCTTGCACGCCTTTGCCCCTGCTCCCCATGGTTGGTGGCTCGAAGCAGGGCGGTTCTGCCTCAGCCCCTGGCACTGTGCGGAGACTGGCAGGCCGGTTTGAATGGGGGGCAGAAGACAGGACCCAGGCTGCAGGCTCCCTGGAGCGGGGTTCCCCAGGGGGAGCAGATGTGAATGGGGAGAGAAAGGACCCAGCTGGGAACCTGTCCCAGGAGAACGGTGCTCCAGGTAAGTGCATGGTGGGGCCAGGGTGGCCCGGATGAGCCCATCTTTGTTTTGGGGGCTTGCAGACTGGGAACTTTCAGGCGGTAGTCTTTCAAACAAATATTATGGTCAGAAAACCCAATTTCTGTATTTCTGGGGATTTGAAGACAGTCAGGGAACAGGGGGTCTGTAGATGCCGGGAGGAGGCCTGGCAGGGTGGGCAGGCCAAGACCTTTCTCCTTAGGATGCCCTGTCTGCCACAGATGCTGCTCTGGCTTGCCCTCCTTGCTGCCCTTGTGTCTGCCACATCAGCCAGCCTGGCCTGGAGCTCCGATGGATGCCTGTAGGCAGCTCTGAGGATGGGCCCAGAGTCCCCTGCAGGGCCTCCCCGCTGCGCACCTCCCGCTCGCGTCCAAACCCCTCCAGCATCAGTCACCCCGCAGTCGTGCTCACATCCTATCGCTCCACTGCTGAGCGCAAACTTCTGCCACCCCTCAAGCCCCCAAAGCCAACTCGAGTCAGACAGGATGCTACTGTCTCTGGAGACCCTCCACAGCCGGATCTCGATTTGCCTTCTGAAGATGGAATCCAAACAGGTACCCGGCGTGAGGGGTGTGTGTGTGTGTGTGTGTGTGTGTGTGTGTGTGTGTGTGTGTGTGCGCGCGCACGCGCTCGCACAAAGAAGTGCTGTGGGACATCTAGGCTTTGAAGGATAGGGGTGGAGTGACCTAAAGCCCAAAGAACTACAATCCCAACAGGCCCTGGGATATTTATTCCTTTACTAGCTTCTTCTCTGAGGCTGATGGGAGTTGTAGTTTTTATTGCAACAGTTGCTAATGAGGCAGGGGTAAAGAGTCTTGCGTTGGGAGCCCTGGAAGTTTCTCTTCATTCTGGATTGTCTTTCCAGGGGACATCCCTGATGACGTTCCTCTGCACCAGAACCCTTTCCCTGCAGCCATGGAGGCCAGGTACTGAACACACCACTGTATTCCCCCTTCCTCATCCCACCCTGCTGAGGGAAGCTAACCTTCAGGTCCAAGCGGCTCCTGCCTCCATGGAGGTGAGGGAAAGAAAGGCTGGGGCTGGGGGCCTGCCAGTCAGCTCATTGTTTAAGTGCCTGCTGAAACAAAGCAGTCAGGCTGAGGATGTTGCTCAGGATGCTGTGGTTTGAGCCCCAGATCCTCAAGCCAAACCAGACCTGCTCTGAAGCTATGCTGAGGCAAAAAAAAAAAAAAAATCCTTCTGCCCTTTTGCAAGTGCCTGAGTTCAATCCCTGGTTCCACCAAAAAATAAATAAATAAATAAAAGGTGGGGGGCGAGGAGATGGCACAGTAGAATAAGCGCTTCCCTGGCAAGTACAAGGTTCTGAGTTCAATCCCGGGTTCCGCAAAAAAAAAAAAAAGAAAAAGAAAAAGAAAGGCTGGGGCTCCAGAGACTAGCAGCTGACATTTCGCACCCTTATTAGTTATGCGACAAATCCTCAGTCTTTCTGGGTCTCAGCATCCTCATGTTGGAAATGGAGATAAGTATATCAACTACTCCAGGGGATGGGAGAGAAGATGCTACCAAACACCTGATCCTGTAGCAAATGCTCGTTTGAATTTCCTTCCCATGCCTTGAGCCTCTATTGTAGTTACTGTCTGCAAATCCCTTTGATGACCGCAACCATCTTTTCTTTTCTTTTTTCTTTTTTTTTTTTTTTGGTACTGGGGATCGAACTCAGGACCTTGTGCTTGCCAGGCTGAGCTATCTCCCCAGCTCTCATCTTTTCTTTGTTATCTGGACCTGTCAATCATGTTAGATTTACTATCATTATGGGAGATAATCTGAATCCATGCATTCATGGAGCAAACACTTACTAACCTTTTTTTTTTTTTTTTTGGTGTCATGTCTTTTGAGTTTTTCTTTTTTCTTTTTTTTTTTTTTTGTGAAACTGGGGATTGAACTCAGGCCCTTGCGCTTGCCAGGCAAGTGCTTATTCCACTGAGCCATCTCCCTGGCCCCAGTGTTGTTTCTTTTGAGATAGAGTCTTGCTATGCCGTTCCAGTTGGCCTTGAGCTCACTTTGTAGCCCAGGCTGGTCTCGAACTTGCAACAATCTAGAAAGTTTTTTTTATTTTTCATACTTTTTTTTTTTTTTTTGGTGCTGGGGACTGAACCTAAAGTTCCATGTACACTATGCAAATATTCTGAGCTAAAATCACATCCACTACTAGCTTTTTTTTTTTTTAAGCTTGAATGGGTGTCTGGGAATGCAGGGAACATGAGAGCTACAGGTGGTGGTGGGCAGATGTAAGAGTTTGGATCTGACTGTGTGGAGTTTCATTGAGGTGCAAATGGTGCCTTTCAGACAGTGGTGGTTGTGTGGGAGAGCTGGAGGCAGAGGCATGGGAGTCTGTGCTACACAGTAGTTGAGATAATGGGAATGGATAGAGTTCGGTTAGCTCACCTCTGAGGGGCACATCAGAAAGTCTGGAGTTTGATCTGGGGAGGCTTCAGCGTCCCTGCCTATGATGTAGTCCCTACTTATAATGTCGCCTTTTTCACTGCCCTGAAAATAGCAGCTGTGGAGTGGCCTACCACGGAGGATGGGCCTGGGAATGCCCGTCTTTCTCTCTCCACAGGGATGAGGAGGGGGTGGAGGAGCTGAAGGAGCAGAACTGGGAACTCCCTCTGCAGGACGGTGAGACTCTCTGGGTCTGGGATCGCGGCTGTGACCTTCAGGCAATGAGGCAGGGTTTGGAGCTCTGGATTTCCCTGATGTGCTTTGCCTGCTTTCTAGAACCTCTGTACCAGACCTACCGAGCAGCTGTGCTGTCAGAGGAGCTGTGGGGTGTTAGTGAGGATGGGGGCCTCTCTCCAGCAAATCCTGGGGAAGCTCCTGCCTTCATAAGACCTCCTGGGCCTCGCAACACCCTGTGGCAGGAGCTTCCGGCTGTGCGAGCCAGCGGCCTCCTGGAGACCCTCAGCCCCCAGGAGAGACGCATGCAAGAGGTGGGCATGCTGGGGTGGGTCTGAATGGGCTGCCAGGGGGAGGTACGTGTCCCAGGTCCTAGGCTGGCATGAGGGAGGCTGTCCACTACTGCTCTGGACTTCTTCCTAGAGCCTGTTTGAGGTGGTGACCTCCGAGGCCTCCTACCTGCGCTCCCTGAGGCTGCTGACTGACACCTTCGTGCTGAGCCGGGCGCTCCGAGACACACTCACCCCGAGGGACCACCACACGCTCTTCTCCAACGTGCAGCGTGTCCAGGGAGTCAGTGAGCGGTCAGTAGGGTCCTGTCCTCCCTGGAATCCTGGCTTTGGGCTGCTCAGTGTCCCCTTAGCTTTCTCCAGATTCTTCTTTTCATGGATTCTCTTAGTTACCAGCTCTTCTTTCAAAAAGGCAGAAGACCTGGCCCTCTGTCCTCTCCATTGCTCCCTCCCCTTCTCCTTCAGGTTTCTAGGAACATTACTGTCCCGGGTGCGTTCTTCCCCCCACATCAGCGACCTGTGTGACGTGGTGCATGCCCATGCGGTGGGGCCCTTCTCCGTGTACGTGGACTATGTGAGAAACCAGCAGTATCAGGAGGAGACCTACAGCCGCCTGATGTGAGTGTGGTTGTCCTCCCTTCTCCATGGGGCTGGCCTTCCAAGACCCCCCAGTAGGTCTCTGAAACCATGGATTGCACGGAACCCTATGGCCTATGTTTTTCATAAACATATAAATAAGGTGTAAGGGCCGGCCAAGTAGCTCAGCGCATTAAAGCACCTGCAAGCAGGCGCAGGGGCCAGGGAGTTTGATCCGCAGGGCCTGCCGGTGCTGGCCCTGTCCCCAGGGCATGCTGGGACTGAAGTTGAGACTGGGTGTGGTGGTATGCACCTGTAATCCCAGCTCTTGGGAGGCTGTAAACAGGTGGATCACTAAGAGTCCGATTTAGTAGTGAGACCCTGAACATCCTGTAAACCCTTCCCTAAAATACAAATAAATAAATAAAAAATAAGGTGCAATAGGAGATTAACAGTTATAGTTAATAAAATAGAAAAATTATAACAACATACTCTGATAAAATTGCCATTATCACCATTCTTCTATGATGGAGCTATCTATTATTAAGTAAAATAAGGGGTACTTGGAAACAAGCACTGTGATGCTGCCAGTCAGTCTGATAACTGGAACAGTTACTGAGTGATTCAAGGTGGCAGGTCATGTACGTGGTGTGGGTATGCTGGACAAAGGGATGATGCATAGCCTATGCGGGATGGAGTGGAATGGTGTGAGATTTCATCATGCTATTCAAGAAAATAGTGCAATTTAAAGCTTATAAATTGTTTATGTCTGGCTTTTCCATTTAACACTTTTGGACCAACTTTTAGTGGAAAGCAAAACTGTGAATAAGGGGAGGTGCTGCTGTTTTCCAGAGGTGTGGGAAGAAGCTTTGGAACAGGGTAGGGGTAAGCTGATGAGCTGGCTGAAGAATCAGGACCTTGCTCCATGATGTCACTAGTCATCTGGGCTTGCTTCTTGCAGGGACACAAATGTGCGCTTCTCCGCGGAGCTCCGGAGGCTGCAGAGCCTCCCCAAGTGTGAGCGGCTCCCACTGCCCTCCTTCCTGTTGCTGCCCTTCCAGCGTATCACCCGGCTCCGCATGCTGCTGCAGGTACCTTCCTAGCTTGGGCCTGCTCTGCCACACAGGCCAGAATGGATTCAGGGAAAGGGCCTCTAGCTAGTGATGCACATTCTAGACCTAGTTCTGCTTCCCCTTTAACTAGCTAATATAACCTCCAGAGGTGGTGGTGAGTTCTTTTGGGGATGAAAAACCTGAGCTATTCTAATTGTTGGGGTACTTTAAACAGCCATGTTACAAGAAGAGATTTACAGCCCAGCGTGGTGGGGCACACCTGTAATCCCCACATTTGGAAGGCTGAGGCAGGAGGATTGCTTCAAATTCAAGGCTAGTCTGGGCTATATAGCTAACTTAAGGCCAACCTGAACTACACAGTGAGACTGTGTCAAACAAACAAAAATTCACAGTGGGTGAAAAACTCAGGGAAATCATGTCTAAACAGGGTTCATTAACGGGAGTATTAGGGGGAAAAGGGTTGAGAACTCTTCTTTTATTGCTAAGTAAAGACTTCTGCCTATCAAATCATTCAATGTAGGGATTTTAATGTGAAAACTTCTTTTTTTAGCGGGGAGTGGTGGGTACTGGGAATCAAATCAAACATTGGACTTTCGAGGCAGGTGCTGTACCACTGAGCTATATCCTTGGTTCAATTTCTTTTATTTTTTGGGTGTTAGGTATCAAACCCAGGGCCATAATCAGGCTAGTTCATGCTTCAGTCACTGAGCCCCAGCCCCAGCCCAGCTTCCCTAGTCTTGTTCAGCTTTGTCTTTCCCCAGTCTGGACAGCACAGTAACAATAATCATGATGATACCAATCATAATCACTCACTGACTATGATTTGAAATACAGTTCTAAATGCTACATGCCTGTTTAACTTCACCGTGTGAGATTAGGGCAGGAAGTATGTTTTTTAAAAAAATTTATTATTTTTTTTTTTTTTTGTGGAACTGGGGATTGAACTCAGGTCCTTGCCCTTGCCAAGGAAGCACTTTTTCCACTGAGCCATCTCCCTGGCCCTTTAAATTTATTTTTAAAAATTTTTATTTTTGACTGTATTAGATATCAAACTTGGGACCTTGCACTTGCCATGCAGGCACTTATGCCACTGAGTTCTCTGGCTAAGAACTATTACCCTACTTTATACAAGACAAAATTGAGCTACAGGTTAAATAACTTGTCCCAGGTATGTAGAAATAATTGATAGAGGGATGGGCCAGATAGCTCAGCAGACTAAAGTACCTGCTTAAGCAGAGGCAGTGGCCAGGGTTCAATCCTCGGTGTACTGTGCCAGGCCCGCCCCCAGGGCGCCGTGATATATTGAGATATTCTAGATGCCTAGAATCCCAGTGCTTGAGAGGCTGAAAACAGGAGAATCACTATGAGTCTAATCTACGTAGTGAGATCCTATAGACCCTGTAGACCCTGTACTAAGTACATTAAAAAAAAAGTAATTGATAGAGATACAACCAAAATCTAGGCATTATTAATTACTATATATATATATATTTTTAAATAGCTTTATATGTTTTTACACTAATAGTTGTAGTTAATAATTGTTAAAATAATAGCAAATCAATTTTCAGTATTCACTGTGTGTCCAGGATGATGCCAAGCCCCTTTTATATAATATTACCTTCCTGAATCCTTAGTACCATGCTATTTTTATACCCTAGGTACTATCCCCATTTTATATATGGGAAAATTGAGCCTGATAGAGATAACATGACTTCCTCAGGATTATGTAGCTAACAGGTAGTGAAGTCTGTTGGTTTCTGTTTTTTAATTTTTAATTTTTTTTTTTTTTTCTCGGAACCGGGGATTGAACTCAGGCCCTTGCGCTTGTCAGGGAAGCGCTTATTCTACTGAGCCATCTCCTTGGCCCCAAACTGCACATTTATTAAATATATGAAAAAACAGAAGGGTAAGGAAAAAATGGGCTCTGCAGAGTGAGTCTGGGCAGAGTAAAAAGGTAGGAACGCGCACACACACACACACACACACACACACACACACTCCCTCCCTATAGTATAGGGCGGACTGTGGTGAAGAGACAAGATAGCTTCTCGACCTTGCTGAGGCTACTGATGCTGCACTGTGACCCCGAGCTCTTTCAGTGAGCCAGGCCGGGCTCTCTGATCCCTTGGAATCCAAGGGCTCGGAGCAGGAGTCAGTCGCTTTTCCTCCTTGTCCCCAGAACATCCTGCGCCAGACGGAGGAGGGATCCAGTCGCCAGGATAATGCCCAGAAGGCGTTGGGCGCTGTCAGCAAGGTGGGCAGGTGGGAAGCTGAGGCTGGGAGAAGCGACGGGGAGGGGTGGAGGGAGCAGGAGGTGGATGACCTGCGCCCCTCACTCAGATCATTGAGCGTTGCAGCGCGGAGGTAGGGCGTATGAAGCAGACGGAAGAGCTGATCCGGCTCACGCAGAGGCTGCGCTTCCACAAAGTCAAGGTTAGTCCTGGCCCAGGCCCTTCATAGCGCCTTTTCCCCAGCACTGGGAAGCTAGAACTTGGCATTTTCTCGCAGGCGCTGCCGCTCGTCTCCTGGTCGAGGCGCCTAGAGTTGCAGGGGGAGCTGACCGAGTTAGGGTGCCGGAGGGGGGGCGTGCTCTTCACCTCCCGCCCGCGCTTCACACCCCTCTGCCTGCTGCTCTTTAGCGACCTGCTGCTCATCACTCAGCCCAAGAGGTGGGTTCCGACCGAAGAGAGAGTCCGGGCTGGGTGGAGGGGAGGTGCCCAGCGGGATCCCTGCTGTCTTCTGAACGCCCTCTTCTTTGGGCAGTGGGCAGCGGCTGCAGGTTTTGGACTATGCCCATCGCTCCCTGGTGCAGGCCCAGCAGGTTCCTGACCCATCTGGACCCCCTACGTTCCGCCTCTCCCTTCTCAGCAACCACCAGGGGCGCCCCACCCACCGGCTACTCCAAGCTTCCTCTCTGTGAGTTGTACCTCCAGAAAGTGCCTTGAGGGATTGGGGGATGTGATTCAGTGGTAGAGCCTATGCCCAGCATGTGTGTGTGTCACACACACATACACACACCACCACCACCACCACCACCTTTGAGTCTCGGAATCTTCCCTTAACCTCCCAGACCACCAACCCCATTCTTTCTCTTCATGAACACTGCCTGCCCCAGGAGGAGCTCCAGGGCTAATTGTGAGCCTTCCTCTCTCTATCCCTGCCAGATCAGACATGCAGCGCTGGCTGGGAGCCTTCCCTACTCCGGGTCCCCTGCCCTGCTCCCCAGACACCATCTATGAGGACTGTGGTGAGTATCACACTCAGGGCAAGAGGAAAGGAAAAATGAGTCTTAAGGGAAACAGGGAGGAGAAACTAAAGAATCTGACTCCCATTGTAATGTCACCTGTCCGCTACCAGAGTGTTCCCAGGAACTGAGTTCAGAGCCACCAACACCTACCAAGACTGAGGGACTGGGTGTGGAGTCCAGAGCTCCTGCCAAGCGTCTGCACAAGAGTCCTGAAGGTAAGAGACTCTTTCATGTACTCATTAAATTGATCTCTATTTATTGATTTTGCTTTTTCAGTTGATATTTATTAAGCCAAACATGTAAAGCTTCCTGTCCTGCTGTAGCCTGCACACTGTTTCAGCAGTGTTGCTGAGAGGCTGAGCCCAGGCACTCGCCTGTGCTGGGCAAATGCTGTGCCATGGAGCTGCGTCCCCAGAATACAGCAGGCATTCTAATAGAAGAGGCAAACAATAAAGAATAAATATGATTAATAGATAAATAAAAGCACGTTGAGGGGTGGCGAGTGCTACAAGAAACATAAATTTGTACCCGAATAAGGAGGTTAGGGATTTTCAGCATTAGGGAGAGTTACAGTTTGAACTGGGGAAACAAAGGTGGACCTTATAGAAAAAGCTGGGTGAAGGTGAGAAATTGGGGCGCTTGTTGTCCAGAGGAAGAGTCCCTGTTGGAGGAACAAGCTGTGCAAAGCCCCTTCAGTCTGGTATGTGATGGAGGAGCTGCAGGACAGACAGGATGAAGAGAGGGGGCCAGACGAGAGGACAGGAGGAGGAAATGAGGCCCAGAGGTAAGGGGATGAGGTTTTGTGGGTCTCTAGAAGAACTCCACCTCCAAATCAGTGCCTCAGCCAGGCCCCCATGATTCCAGTACTCTGGAAGGCTGAGTCGGGAGGATTGCAAATTTGAACTCAGCCTGGCCAATTTAGTGGCTTAGCATGAGTACCTGACTCAAAATAAAAAAGGGGCTACAACTCAGTGTAAAGGGTCGGGTTCAGTCCCCAGTTTGTTACAAACAAAGAAATTCTGCCTCTTAACTCTGAGTGACGTGGACAGCCACTGCTGGGCTCCACAGTAGTGACAAGAACTAGACTCTCTCAATGCTGCTGTCACTCAGAGCAGCAGCAGCCACAGCACCTGTTGCCGCCTGCCTGTCTACTAATGCACCAAGCATCTCAACTAATTATCACATCCACCATGACCCCCAAGACTTGAGATTCCTTTTCCTCCCCACCTCTCCTTTGTCCTCACCCCTTATCTTTCCCATGCTGTCTCTTTCCCTAGGCTGGCTGAAGGGGCTTCCTGGGGCCTTTCCTGCCCAGTTGGTGTGTGAAGTCACAGGGGAACATGAACGGAGGAAGCATCTTCGTAGGCATCAGAGGCTTCTTGAGGCTATGGAGCCCTCTTCAGGCACCACCAGTGACCCCCCACCCTAATGCAGGCTGAGGAGGGGGCTCAGGTTGGGACACTGGCAGCAGGATAAAGAGGAACAAAAACATCCATCCAGCTGTTGGATTCACTGCCTGTGGAAACACTACCTCTAGTGACAACCAATGGGGATCAAGCTTCCAGACAGGGCAGCCCATGAAATAAGGCCTCTGAGCCTACAGCAGTAAGAATGAGGATGGAGAACAGATGATGGGCACTGAGCTTGCTGAATCCTTGGCACGTCAGTATCTTTGCTATGTTCACAGCCAAGGAAGACATTGCTGGCTCAATACAGTTCAAGCCAAGCCAAGCCAAACCAAACCCAATCCAAGCAAACCAAAGCTCTGCAATAGAGATAAAGTCATACAGTCTACAAGGATGTTCAGGGACCTCTCCAGCCAAAGAAGATGGTGACTTGGCCCCAAGAGACCAGCTGTCACTCTACCTGGTTCTACAGCAGTTCTGCCTTTGAGTCTGCCAAGTATTGGGTTTCATTCCTTGGATATGTCCTGCACCCTCTCAAGTCATTTCCTGTCCTCTAGAAGAACCTGGAGTGTGTGTCTCAGAGAATCTGTGTGTGTACGGGCATCTGCCCTAAATCAGGAAGGGTGATCCTGCTGATCACAGAGAGTGTGTGGTGGCACCCTCCCTCGCCGAGAATGACTGCTCCATTTCTTCTCTCACCTACATTTCTCCTGCTATTCTTGCCAAGAAAGACATTAGGGGGGCCTGAGAGATGGCTTAGTGGAATAAGCACTTCCCTAGCAAGCACAAGGGTCTGAGTTCAATCCCTGGTTCTGAAAAAAAAAAAAAAAAAAAAAAAGAAAGAAAGACATTAGGTCTGAGTTCCAGAAGAGAGTACGCTGAATGTAGCTTGGCAGGGAGGCCAATCTGAGGATGAAAGCCCTGGATCAGGTCTCCTGGGACACAGGGTTCCATGACAGTTGGAGGGTGATGATATGGAGCAGTCAAGCAGCCTGGCAAAGGAGCCCAGGGTACAGATGATGGTCAGTAGCTGGGGCTCAAGACCCCTTAAATCTACACAACATTCTTCTGCCCCAAGCCTTGGTCTCTATGGTCCCAGTCTGCCTATCTCCCAAGTTGAACCATTATCATTCAGCAGCCTCAGTCTTGGGCTGTAGAGCTCTGGATCCCAGGTTGGGCTGAAGACCTGGAAGCTGTGTAGCACAGGCTGGCTGATGAACCTGCCTCAAGGGCCTGCTGCTTCCACCCTGATCCTCCCAACAGAATCATGGGGCTAAACGGTGAAGAGCTAGAGTTGCTGCCCAGGCCCAAGCAGCGCATCTGCTTCCAAATGAACAGCTTCCTGTGATAATGCCAGAGGAGGTGAGGGCTGGAGATGGCTGAAAAGACAGGTGCTGGCAAGCGGGGACCCAAACCTGGGACATGTGTTTCCCTGTTCTGGGCCATCACCCATTCCTTTCAGCTCATGCCTGGCAACTTGCTTAGACAGAAACTGCCACAGAAACCACAGGAGGTACAAGAACTTTGGAGACTCAAAGTGGGGAGGGTGCTGGCATTTGGTATACCCACAATTTTGGAGATTAACCTAGCACAGTGCCTGGCATATGGAAACCCTCAATAAATGTTGGTGGAGCTGTAACAAGGCTCTTCAGGACAGTACATGCTCACAGGAACAGTGGCCCACAAAGTGGGCTTTATAAGGGAAGATCGGGCAGACTAGAAAGGTGTCAAGATCAGGGATCAGTTCTGCTGGGAACCGGGTCATGGACACCAGAATAAGTCCTGAGTGGACCAGCCCACAGGTCCCAAAGACTAAGGTGGCAGTGATGGTGGTAGTGGTGACAGTGGGTTGTGACCTCTTGGTAGTAAGGGGTTCTTGCAGCCTGGGGAAAAAGGCAGGGTAGGGCTCTTGCAAGTGATGAAGATGTGGGGAGAAGGACACAAGGATCAGTGAGGCAGCCATAAAGGCCCTTTGCTGATGGAGCAAGCATGTCCGTGCCTAATTTAATTAAATCTACACCTATTTGAGAACCTTTAGGCAGGCACAGTTATAAGATCCAATGAAAAAGACAAGGGAGGGCTGGTGAGATGGCTCAGTGGTCTAAAGCACCTACTTAGAACAAGCTTAGCAAAGCAAAGGGACCA